AGGGCAGCTTTGACGGCGTTAAACGCGTCAGTGTGTGCCGACTCCCACAGGAACACATTCGTGGACTTCAGCAACGGGCGAAGCGGGTCGCTGAGCTGTGCGATACGGGGCGAGAAATCACTACACTGGTTGATTAGCCCGAAGAATGAGCGGACGTCAGTGCGATTAACGGGTACTGGGAAATCAGTGATGGCTGCCGTCTTGTCACTGTCAACGGTGTAACCATCCGTGTTGATGTGGTAGCCACAGTAGTCGACTTCTGGGACGCCGAAGACGAATTTCTTGGCGCTCAGGGTAATGCCGTGCTGACGGGCGCGGAGCAGAGCGTCACGAACGTGGGTGAAATGAGTCGTCAGTTCCGTATCGTACACAAGACCATCGTCAACCACTTTTACGAAGTTGGTGAGGCGATCAAACGCTGCGTCGGTACGGGAGTTGAATACATCACCAGCCGAGACAAGGCCCTGCGGGTTGCGAAGAAACTGGTACCGCCCCCACGGTGTGATAAAGGTGGTGAGCGGCTTGGCATCGTCGGACAGCGGGACTTGCCAATAGCCATGTCGGGCGTCGAGCTTCGTGAAGTAGCGGGCTTTGCCGATGGCTGCCACTGCGTCATGTGGTGTACGAGCAGGATGGGTGGGTCTGCGTACCTGATCATTCAGCTTTCGAAGGTCCACAGTCAGTCGCATCTCAGTAGTGCCCTTCTTCTCAACGAGAACGATCGGATGGCACCACGCAGAGGGTTCTGTGACTGGCTCGATAATGCGATCATCGACCATACTGTCCAGTTGGGACTTTATCTGATCCCGGTAGGCAAACGGTATGGTGCGAGCAGTGCGGACGCAGCTGGGTTCTGCACCTGGTTCCAACTGAATGTCCATGGGCGGACCATCCATTGGTGGAAGCTGTGAGCTGTCGAAAACGTCGGCAAACTCTTCCAGAAGCTGCTGTTGGAGCTGCTGGGCAGTGTTGGGTTCAGTACGGGCAGAACGGACAAACACGGAGGGCCAAGAAGCAGGCAACAGATTCAAGGCACAGAGGCTTTGGCGGGATAGCAGTGCCTCATCCAGGCCTTTGTACACGTGCAGTGTGGTGTCGTGTGTGACGGAATCGAGCGTCAAGGTCGCCTGGATCTTGCCAAGACTGGTCAAGGGTGCGCCATCAGCGGTGCGCACAACATCCTTGTCGGTAGGCAGATTCTCAATAAAGTCTCCGAGGAGCTCGAGGTGTGCAGGGCCAATAGCGTTGATGTCGCTGCCGGTGTCAGGAAGCCAGCGCAAACTGGTTGGCTTGTCGGCAGACACGAGCTGCGTGTTGACGGCTATGGTAGCCCCTTCACGGGAGGACGCGGCACGTTGCAGCTTCAGCTGACCAACAGTCCTCTTAGAAGCAGACGGACACATGGATAAGAAGTGACCGGTGCGTTGGCAGCCATTGCATTTGCGATCCGCAGCAGGGCAGGGTCGCTTGCTATGAGCGGTGCGGCCACAATTGGGACACTTGTCCGGCGAGGGCTTGCTGCCAGACTTGGTATCCTTGGCTGCGGGTGCTCGAGCTTGCTTGGATGCCATTCCTTTCTGCTTCTTATAGCTGGAACGAACGGCACTCACGGACGCGTCTCCAGTGGCCTGACTGGGGATACGTGACGAGGTTTGACTGGCAGCCTCCTCGGCGCGGCATAGGTCGACGCAGGTTGCCAGGGTTAGATCTTTCATTGCCAGCAGCTTGTGTCGAACGTCATCCTGCAGGATGCCGGTAACAATGCGGTCTCGCAGAATTTCATCCGTGTTAGCCTGGAGCGACTGCTGGCATGTTTGACACATACGCCCTGAGCATGTCGAACAGACATCCAACCCGGAGAAGTTGCACGCATGAAACAACTCCCTCAGGGATGTGTACCACGCGTCGAACGTCTCTCCAGGTTGCTGGGCACGGCGATAAAATTCAATCCTGTCCAGCAGGGGGTTGCGCTGGCGCCGGATGAACTTGCGTAGTTCAACCATGGCCTCCGGGACATCATGGGTGTTTGGCACCACAATCACACCTTCACGAACGAAACGTCGCAGGTCCTCATCCAAGGCCTGCCTAAACGCGGCCATCCTTGTCTCGCGGGGCTGCGCTGACAACAGCTGACACCGGGAGTAGTCCTCCCAGGCCTCGCTCCACGATACAAATTCAGCTAGATTCGCCGACGACAACAATATGGGCCGATCCACAGCGACGAGCTTGGTGGATGGAGCAGGAGCAGACGAAGCAGGTGCACTCGTGCTGCTTGATGATCCTTGCGACATTGACTGCAACAGAGTTTGGAGCTGCGCATCGCGCTGGGCAGATGCTTGCACTTGAGCTTGGATCAGCTGCACCAGTTGGTTGATGTCCGGCTGTGACTTAGCACCATCCGCCATGGCGAAATCACAACTATCGATATCGTACTACAAGGCTACGAAAAAATTCTAGAACTTCGAAACGGACAATTTTCGAAGCGAAACGAAAACGGGCAGAGAGCAACACTACAGGTGGGCTACTCTACAACTGCAATGGAACTACTAGTATACTAAGACTACAGGTAAAGTAAGACGTTCACTGCGCCATGTTGTGTCAACAAACGCAAACACACGAGGTAGGGTTTGTGACTTATCTTTCAGAAGACAAAGAGAAAAGACTTCTTGTCCATAGCAAAGGACAGGCAGAAAACCGTGATGCATGTGTGTACTAGTATGCGTACACACGCGAGTGCAAAAGGGCAATGCGTACAACAGGCAGAACATATATGGATACACCACTATGAAACTCGTTATGCCGCTCAAACCTCACACAATGCTCGTATTGCTCCTTTCTAATGCTCCATAATGCGCTGATGCTCTGATAGTCTCACAATGCCGAATATAATGCCGGCATTATCCGCTGGACCCTATCTCTTGCCAAGCTGCTGTCGTCTCAGACTCTGGGAGTAGTAGCTACATTGTAATTTGGTTGGTTGGTATATTTATTTTACTTCGCCAAAATGAACTACGGATCCTCAGCAGCATTGCTGAGACGAAGCGATGGTCTCTATACAGGCTCGACATAGATCTCTCGAAGGCCTTCGACACGCCACACCGCTCAGATCTCCTTAGCACGATTGTCAGCGTTGCTCCTACCACGCCGGATGTGCTACCCCTAGTCCACACTCTGCTGTCAGATACCACCCTTCAGGTACGTGTGCAGGGAAAAACAGCGCCCCCTTTTAGGTCGAACGTTGGCACACCACAGGGTGACAGTCTTAGTCCGATTCTGTTTACATGCTACTTTGAGAGTGCACTGCGAGGTATCAGATCTGACTCCCCTCCTGACGACATCCTACCACCTGAACTGCAGTATGCGGATGATCTAGACTTCATTGGAACTGATGAGCAAGAGCTAGAGGACGTTCATGATCAATGTGCAGAGACCCTCCCAAGCCATAACCTCACCGTTAATACCTCCAAAACTGAACGAACAAAGATATACCTGGCTGATGATCTGGAGGAGCGTGGTTCCGAAGCATGGAGAAATGCGAAGTCGCTAGGATCACGGCTAGGCTCAGCGCAAGATGTCCAAGCCAGAAAGGCCCTAGCAACCCAGGCATTCTGTTCGTTGTACGCACTCTTCAAGCATCAATCTACCTCACTACTGCTTAGAGTTGCGCTGTACAATACCTATGTGAAGCCAGTGCTGTTGTACAACTGTGCGACATGGGGTCTCACAGATGCCACCACCAGAGGGATTGACACCTTTCATCGAAGGCATCTGAGAACAATGGCTGGCGTTAAGTTCCCGAACACAATTACCAACAAGCATCTGTACGACATCTGCGGCTCAGCACCAATTTCGCTCGAGATTGACCAACGGCGTTGGGAATTCCTTGGTCACGTACTGAGAATGCAGAAGAGCTCTCCCCCACAGCGCGTGTTAGAGTTTTCAGCCACCGCGAGCCTGCGCGGTCGACTGGGCCGACCCAGGACAACTCTCCTCTCAGCTCTTTCTCAGGACTGCCTAGCCCGACTCGGCATTCGCCTGGGCACGCTTAGAGGCCTTAATCAGCTGCGGCAGTTGGCAGGGGATAAGTCACGGTGGAATGGCACCCCGCGGCACTCATCTTCCTCTGCCGAGCCGCGTCCTTGACTTATCCCCTGCAGGGTGAACATCGTGCACGAACAGTCTACCGTCTTTCTGACATTGCCACTGGAACTTGACAATAGAAGCTGCTTTTCGTATGTGCAGTTACATTGATGGTGTTTTTGTCTTATGTTTGTGAATCCTTCCCGGAAGCAAATGCTGGTTTTTATGCATTCGTGTAATTACTCAGCGTTATTTGCAATAATAATAATAATAATAATAATAAAATGAACAGGCATTGCTGCCTTCTTGCCTGGACAAGTGGATTGTCCAAGCTCTCACAAAAAGACGAAGAAAGGAAAGAAATATTACATGAGAGTGTGAAGCATGCAGTCTTATAAGAATTTCCGCTGGGGGGGGCTTTCGCCTCTTAACTATGGTTGACTGTAAAAACATCATAATACAGTACATCATTTACAAATGCAGGAGACAAAGGGCGTCTTGTGCTTTAGCTTCAAGTTTCAAGTTTGTGTATAGTACTATTCAGTTCTGCAGCCTGGTGCATTGAACACTCTTTCTAGCTGTCCGGCATCATGACTGACGTACGAAAAGTATACGTAAGTTATGATAGATAGCTTCGCACAGCACAATGCACCGTGTAACCCCAGGAAGCCAGGGTTTCCAATCGGAATCCAACTCGATTTCAGTGCATCATTCTGCTGGGCCCCACGGAGTCCGCCACGTTCCCTTTCCCGGAACCAGCACTGTCTTTCGGTTCGGAGCCCCCAAGAGTGCACAACCGGTTGTGTACTTTCTCTGCAACCTATTTTCCTCTCGGGAACTGTACTGGAAACAGATGTGCATCCCGTGCTGTAGGTCATGCAACATGAAAACAGCACTAGTGCTTAGTCCAATCCTAGATTCTATCCACATTCACACGGCGTCGGAGCGGGTGCCACTGCCTCCTAATCGTCCGAGAGATTTTGGTGCCCCTTGAAGACTAGAGGCACTAGCAGCTTCTTCTCGCGTCTCGACATTTTCACAGCTACCACCATCTACGTGCACAGTTTCCCGCAGTAGGGCCGAGCTTGGACATGGCAGTTCCAATCAAGTTGTTCTTGGTCGTGCAAGTACTGGTGGCGGTTGTGTTGCTGAATGGCGGGCCAGTTGCAGACGCGTTCGTCTTCGACAGAAAGTCCTGTGGCGCCGTGCCCAGCAACAACTATGCCTACGATGAAAGTCTGGCTAAACGAATGATGGCGTATAGCGCCTCGGCCTATGTGAAGCACCCGCGTATCCTCCAGGACTGGACCTGCACGCTGTGCAAATCTGTGCTCAAAGGCTTCCAGCCATTCCGTGTCATTGAGACGGATGATTTGCTCTCGTATATGGGCTATGATAGCACACTCCGTATGATCGTGGTTGTGTTCCGCGGGACGGTAGGCCCGGGCAGGTTCACCGCGTTCGTCAAGAACTGGATCCTCAACGCCAGCTTTAAGAAGGTCAAGCCCACGCGCCTGGGCTTGTCCGTGCCGGGCGAGGTGCACGACGGGTTCTACAACGGCTACGTGGGCATGCAGACTCAAATCATCTCAGCGCTCCAGCACTTGCAGGCCCAGCACCCCCGCGCCGGCCTCTACGTAACGGGACACTCCCTAGGCGCGGCCCTTGCTACCATAGCAACGATGGACTTCTACTCCAAAGGCGTCAGCACCAATCCGATCATGATCAACTTCGGCTCGCCGCGCGTCGGAGACAAGTGCTTTGCGAAGTACTTTTCGGAGAAAATCACGCGCAGTATTCGCGTGGTGCATAGCAAGGACATCGTCACGCACGTGCCACCCGAGATAACGGGCTACCAACACGTGAGTCGCGAAGTCCAGGACAAAACCACCTGGGACCATCGGGTCTATCTCGGCTACCGCGGCATCAGTGCCAGACGCCGCAAATAGATGTAACACCACGCTCCCTCCGCAGCAACGGTCGGCGACCGCAAGGGGAACCGGAACGGCTCCTGGCCGATGCACCGAAATTCTGAATCATTTGAACCATGCATACTCATCTCTTGCACTTCTGCTGCAATGACTAACCCCTTTCCATTCCTACTGGATTTTTCCTGTGCAAGAGGCGAAATTTTACTAATAGAAATTGCAATCACGCGGTCACTGCATTGGACGTGGCACTGTGCTGATGTTTCTGTAGACACACTTACACGCCATGGGCATGGTACAAGTTCCTAGAGATATACAGTAAAACCTGCACTAAAGACCACCGTGACTAGCGACCAGCCTGGTACTACAGATCACTTCGCCAGGCACGGACGGTCTCACATTCATGTTATGGTTGTGCGGTGCTAACCTCTAACTAAGGACCACCTGCCACTAAAGACCGCTTTCTATCGCCCCAAGGGGTGGTCGTTAGTCACAGGTTTTACTGTAACGGGAAAGGAGGGGTGTGGGGGGGGGGGCAGTGACGTCGACACAATACAATAAACAAGGGTACGCAGGGCAACAATGGGCTTTTTTAGTATTGTGGATGGGGTTTGTAGCACTCATCCGATCGCTGGTCAGTCGGAGTCATGATCGCATAATACTAATATTGCAGTGGTTCTCCTGCCTGCACTTGTCCATGTTGTCCATGTTGTCTTGGTGATAGCAGTAGTCGTAGTGCCGGAGCTTGTCCAGGTTGTCTGGGTGGTAGCGGTGGTCGTATAAACGGGACTCGTCTAGCCCCTCTAGGTGGAAGCGGTGGTGGCTGGAGTAGGCTCGCTTCTCTCTCCGCCGCAGGATGTCTGGCCTGAAACAGGCCAAGTAGTCCTCCAGGTGGTGGTGGTAGGTCCGCTGCTCCCCTTGCCGCAATGTCTGCTCGTCGGTCTCGGTCAATACGGATCTAGATGTGCATGCACCCTGTCCCGAACCAAAGCGATCACAGTCGAAGAAGAAATCAGTTTTAAAATTCTTATTTTATGCATTGATCGTTGGCATTGACCGTGCGTGATATGAAAACCGAAATGAAGTGTGAAATCCAGTCAGAGTTAACTTGACTGAGCACAGCCAAGTACGAACGGAGCCAAGGTGGGACCAGGGAGTCGTCAAATACCGGTATTTGACGACTCCCGTGGGTGGAACCATGACTGTTCATAATTGTACAATGTACCCAGGGGTTCCCCCCCCCCCCGTTTTATACTTCCCCTTCATAATCTGCTACCTTGTTATAAAGCATCTCTGCTCGTTAGGTTATGCGAATTCAAATAATTATAACAAACAAACAGCATTCAACATCTACCTTCACTGATGAGCTATGTATTAGCGAAACAGTTGTCTGAAGGAGTTTATCAATATCGTCCACGAAAGTGTCCTCGCAATGGTGATGGTTGTGTGCAGGAGGGTCTAGTCGGCTAAAATTTAAAAAGCGCAGTGTAATGGTGGAGGTGACTAAACAAACAACAAATAGACAAATAAGCAAAGTTCTGGGTGAATGTGGAATCACGTCCACAGTTCCACTGTAGAGAATACTAGACGCCAAGAATGGTGGGTAGGTGTGACCAGTTGCACAAGTGTAGGGGCCAAGAACGGTGGGTAGGTGTGACCAGGTGCACAAGTGTAGGGGCCAAGAACGGGGTGAAGGTTCCACTCGGATAATGAAAGGCACTGGTTGGTGAATAGCGTATTTTGTCCAAAGAGGATATTTCTCACATTACTACTGATTACACAGCATAGGGCTGTGTTCCCAATAATAAGGTTTAAAGAAAATGTATACACAACAGAACAACAAGGACAATCAAGGCTTGTTTGCTGCTACTTTAAGTTTCATGCTCACGCAATTAGCCCTTTCCCAAAGGTGCTCGCCCTTTTTTCGCACTTTTTGGCCCTTTTTGGAAAAGCCCGTTTCTTTCGCCCTTTATAGCGTTTTGGTGATTATCGCCATTTTTGAGCTTTTTTAGCTGAAAAAAGTGCTAAAATCTGTTTGCTCATGCATGCGGTCACAGTTTCCGAGTGCTCGATGTTGATGGGCCTTGGCACGCCGCATTTTCGGGGGGGGGGCAACAACTTAACAAGTTGGTGAAGCTTGTACCCGGTACCAGTGTACAGAATGCTGGAAAAAGGTTTTTTTTTGAACTTTACTTCCTGTTTTGCCTTTCGCGGACCCATAAATGGAAGAGCGCGTATTCATTTCTCAGCTTGGGTTCATATCTGAACAGGTATCATGGCTATCCTTCACTGAAAAAAGAGCACTTTTTGCCTGTTTTCACTGAAAAAAGAACACTTTTTCAGCATATTTTGAGGGACGCGAAAAGCACTAAGTGCGAATTAAAAGAGCACCTTTGGGAAAGGGCTACACGCAATCATCAGGCAGCACGAATACCGGGTGCCGACCATGCCGGTATATATGCCAGGAGAGGGTGGTATAAAAAGCTGTGTGAGGCTGTGGGGGCTAGCGGTGGCATTTTAGGCAGGGCACCACCCTCTCCTGGCATATATACCGGCATGGTCGGCACTCGATCTTCATGTTGCCTGGTGATTGCGTGAGCATGAAACTTAAAGTAGCAGCAAACAAGCCTTGATTGTCCTTGTTGTTCTGTTGTGTATTACGCTCTGCCTTTGTGGTGTTGAGCACTGTCAGCACTCTGGGTACATCCTTCGATGTATAGAAAAGAGAAAGACCAAGGAACTACACGTTACGCTATACTGTCCACTAACACCACCAGTTACGAAACAATCAGCTCATTATCTTTTGTATAAATTGGTTCTTGGCTCTCCACCCCACCCGAGACCATTAAAGAAACGTACAAGACAAATTGAATATAAACCAAGCAAGAATACGATAAGCAACAAACGCATGCAAAGGAGGGAGGCAAGAAATGGCAACTAATCTCGCGAGATGTGGGCTTCCGACACTGCCAGAGTGTGGGATACCTCAATAGCAGCAGCACGATGCCTAACACGAGAGCCACGGAAACAACCCCCGCTTGTTTTTCATGATCCATTGCTTCTTGCCTTCCCGGTTAATTTCCATCTAGTTGTTTCTGGCTAATATCAGTTCTGACGCACTTAACAATCATCCTTATTGGCGTCACGCCATCGTGGAATAAAAGAATAATAATAAACAAGCAATGCAAGAACGCAGCAGAGCAAACGAAATCCTGCACCAAATGAAAGCCATGGCATGGCTGTAAGGCTCGAACTGTTTTTCTGAGCGCAGGCTAGCAATACGCTTGTACAGAACCGCCGCCGCACTACTGAAGCCTCCGGATGCGGACATCACCGCCGGAACAAATGACGCCTGCTCGACGTTCCTCACGCGTTCTCCATAACGCCTTTTCTTTTCATTCTCATGATATCGATAGACAGTGGAAAGAGGTGCAGCACGGTTTGATAACGCATGTGGGTTAACTAGTATCCGTACATCAATAATTGACGGCTGACCCACAATCCACTGCCACCGATATCTAGGCGAGCGTGGTCGTCAGTAAAGTCCTTCGAGTACCACTACAGTAGGGTCCGGCGGATTCTGCCGGCAGAAAATTGGCAGAATTCGGTACTTTTTCTGGTAAGTTTCATGCATGTCTGGTATGTATGTGGATACAAAAATGGAACAGAATTCGAGGAATCGCCCGCCATAAGGTTTGTATGGTTCTGCCAATTTGACTGCTTTTTGAGCAGAATCTTCCACCTTTTCGAGCAGAATCCGCCGGTCCCTACACTACAGTACTGTATTAAGAACTACTGATATTTTACGTCTTCCCGATACGTTACATGGTCACTATTCTGTGGACCACTGATTGCAGGGAGGTGTGCACGTTCACGTCTTGGACACCGCTCACGATCACACTGGAACCATGCATGGTGGTGCCGTGGACAGGCGCTAGGGTCTGTGCGGAGGTCTCGCGGAAACGCACTGTTGCCAAGATTTCTACTGATCAACCGTACTCTTGTCAGTCTTCGTTGATACTACAGCTGTGGCCAGAGAAATCCGACCGCTCGTAATCATTAAATTTTATAATTTTACGAACGCAGCCCCGCGCATAACTGAGCAGAGTAGTGTGTGAGGCTAGGGCCGCTAGCCCCCCCCCCCCCCCCGATGCTAATAAATAATTATTCATGAGTTCGGATTTCAGTCTCCGCAGTATGGTGCATGCGCACATTACTCGTCAAGTAAGAGAATCCCGGATCATGAATAAACGGATACAGCGTCACCAACGTGTGAAGCCCTCATTCAACAGGATCGAGATCAAAATAATGATCTCACTTTTCTAGCTGAGTATTCTATTCATAGCCCCCTTACCGTTGTGACGCACATAAAGGTCCATCATGCCCTTATGAGTGACTTGTCTCTTGCATAGGCGCATGCGCTTGAGTTGCTAGTGTACCGATACTAGTGACTTGTACATGGTTGACTATGCCATACATAGTGCGATGCCGCAATGAGCAGCTACATGTACGTAGGGTTTCCATAGCTCACTGTGACTGGATTGATATCTGTTCGTTACAATCAACCTTCCGTTTTCTTTTCTTTCTGTTTCCAATCTCTACTTTTCCACAATATCCTTTAATATTTGATTCACAGTGGGTCCATTGTTATTGGGCAGTATGCATTGCTGTTTTCTGTGTTCGGACATTGGTGCGACCCTTCCTGCGCAATGTCTACTTGTATTGGTCTCGGACTTTGTCGGAGCTCTCTTCCGCACCAATCAAATTCATCGAGCTCCGCACTATTCCGCCGCAGAGAGCATATCGTTTTTCTGGAGTTCGTGCCGTCCCACATCGCTCCTTGGGCGTTTATCAAAACTGCAAGCTCGGGTATATGGATCCTGGTATCTCTCCTGAATACAAAATGCTGAAGTTGACCATGGCAAGAACAAAGTGTTCTCAAATTCCTATAATGCGCTACTTGTGGCGCATGTTGCTGCGAAGGTAGCAGGTCTGAAAACAGCAACAACATCAGCGAAGCGCTTGCCAAGGAAAGAAGGCGCGGAACTGCTTACCCTACCCCGCTGGAAGGTCGTTACAATGTACTTGAAAAATGCTAGCTTGCCTTCATCGCCTGCCACCTGGAGGCATGGATCGCTTGAAAACGAGGTTTCTTGACCTGAATTTGAACGCGCGTCTTGTTCAGCGTGTTGAGTGCTGAAGGGTCTGCCTCAAGCTCTGATGAAGACGTCGACCTTAG